GGGTAGCTGAGGCGTTCCATATAATGCTTAATCCTACTTCTCTCAACAGAAAGGAAGGCCTTACCATACATCCTACTTGGACCATTTATCCTAGCCACTCAGTCTGATCATATTTACAAATTCACACTATCATATTACAAATTTAAACTCTATCCCATCTTACCATAAAGGTCACACAATTTTTCATTCTTAAACAATGCACACATACATACACACACAAATTAACATACATATCACTTATGAATCACCTTGACAAAAATGACATGACATCAACTTGTTCATATCTGTTTTCTGATTGATCAAATATTATTCTTGTATTGTTCCGTTGTACTATTTAAACTTGGATTAATTTTAATTTGGTTATTTATTCTCTGAAGAAGTGACTTACACTAAGCCACGAAACGTCAGAAAATCTAATTTTCTACTCATTAGGATATTACAAATATATTATTTATTTATAACAATCAACCCAATGCTCAATTTATTCGAAATTATCAAATCAAACCTTGGTAATTATACCTATTATTTGTATTTGTTTTATTTTAAAAAAATATTTAATTATAGCTTGTTTACACATAATGTATGTTGTATTCCACTTAAACAAAACCTTAGCATCATTCATTCTAATTACAAGTATGCTTATCTATTACCAATAAGTTGTTCCTCTACATTATTGATAATTTGTCACTTTAGGAGAATACTGATATTGAACTTTCATAAAGATTATGTTACCGTTTATTATGATAATGAGGATTGTTTGAACAAACTGATCTCAGACGCTGTTGGAGATATGATCACACCATGAAAGAAGAATTCTTCTTGGGGTACATGTGAGTGAAACTGGATTAAGGATAGTCATGACAACCTCGGGGGGAGGGCGTTGTCGCATAGCCCAAAGGATAATTGGTTTGGACTGGTTACACAAGGTCTTTTAACGAATAGATTTAAGTGTGTCAACTTCATACTTCAAAAAACCTTACCACATACATCGGAAACTGTGACGACGGACCACGGGTGAACTCGAGGAAGCTGTAAGAGGCTCAGAAGGAGCCGAAGATATTCCATCCAATCATCTTTTGGAAGAATATTCCAGAATCCCTACATGTAGCTTCCCGATTGGACAATGCTAATAATCCCCTGTATGCGGATTGGAGGACTGTAATGATGATTTTGTTCTTACTAAAAACTATAAATACCTGACAATTTTGTACTATAATTGACACTGTTGGGAATAATATTCCTTTCACTAGTCTTCTGTCTTCTCATTGTTACTTGGAAGGGTTTCGGTGTTCTAGTGCTCAAGTTATACGTGGTATATCAAGAAAACAACCTTCTAGATATAACAGAAACCCAAGGGGCAAGATGAGAAATGCTATTTATAGGTACAATCTACCACAACTCCTTCTTACTATTGTAAAGAGGCAGCTTTATTTCAGATAATTGCTACTTTGGGGAGCAGTTTACTGCTGTAACGCCTCAGTACAGTCGGGTGAACAACCTCACCCTCGAACTGAGAGCTTTCTGTTTTTTTCATGTCGCTATGGTAATAAATTCGTCAAAAACAGCTTTTCTTATGTTTATTGCCTCCTTACTCACCTTGCTAAACTAAAATAACAAGCGTTCCGTCCAATACAACTCTATTTGGTTATCACAAAATACAAGTTCAACCACTATGAAACATCTACAGTCAGATGATTCTTAAATGTAACAATTAAATAATGTACCAAATGAACTGGTTTTTTCTTATTTTTCATACTCAGTGAACAAATCAATGGAAAAAAATCATTATTTTTTTCAAAGGAAAAAACACCACTTGTAACCTAATGATTATTATTATTTGTAAAATATATCACATTTACTGTTAGCAAATGAAATTAAGGTAGATAACATGAAAGTCATACCTATCAGGTTATGTGAGAGAACAGCATTATTATTTGCTTTCATAGATAACTTTTTTTACCACTTTTTATCTTTACTTAGGAATAATACAGTAGGGGAAAGTCGTTTTTTAATCACTTGAGGGTAGTATAACTGTTACAATAGAACTAACTTTTTAATCATGGGCGGATAAATATCTATAAAATGATGTGTTTGAGTGGAATTAGAGAAAAGTGAATTACTTAGATGTAACAAAGTAGTTTATTAAGACAGAAGTTGTAGTGTTTAAATTATAGAATGTCTACAGCTAAAGTACTACTGAATGCCAGGAAGTACTGGTCATCACTTAGAATTAAATGTGATACTCTTCAGGATTTTCCATCCATGACTTCATCTGTGGTGTTTATATGAACTAATGATTCCTTTGTACCTGATGACTGCTTGATTTCGAATTCCAAATACAATACGTTTGTTCGTGCTCGTCTAATACTTCCTCGTTAAATTGCGTTATTTCTGAGATTCCTAGTTTGTACTATAATTCAAATACTTCAGACTATCACATCATCATTCAGGTTTCTCAATGTAGAAGAGTTACATCCTGATAGCAGAGTTGGGATCCAATAATTCATATCCATAAACTCAACCAATTTGATATATTGCATGGCTGTCATTCAAAACCATCAGTGATGACTGTCACGTGCTCGAAATAGTTCAACTCCACTAGTTATATCGTTTAACTAGAAGCTTGAAAATTCCTATCGAAGTCAGTCACTAGTAAACAACTGGATAGGATGGTGTAAGCGTGTAGAAATTATCCAATTATACGATATCATATATCGTGGAGTGATTATGACTATGAAGCATTATATATCTATTTCGTTCCAGTAGTAAGTGGTTCAAAGTAATGAACCTTTCACATGACATAAAAACCTTGGTACATGGGTAAGTCAGCAAGTAGTTTTTAGTTAGTATCTGGCTAAAATTAATCTGTGATTTCATCGTTTATATCATTTAAAATGATTTATATTTTACGCATTTTTTTCTTCGGTAAATTACCTTCCTTTTATCATACATCATTGATTTTCATCTAAGTATTCGTAAACATACTTACATCATGTGAATTCACTGGGTTCACCAAAAAATTTTTTTTCTGTGAATAGACGCTTATTTATCACATTATCGTCTGTTGTTACCATGATGATTAATTTCACTTCAAAAAAAGAATAATCTTAGCAGTAATTAGTATTGTTTGCATTGATTAACTATTCCAGTTTGTTGTCATAACTGTCTTTTGTTCATTTCATATTAATCAATTGATCTTCTCTATGCAACACGTATTTGTAATTAAGTTATTTGTAGATAGAAAAACAATTAGATATGATCATACGTAATAGTATAATGACAGTTTTGTTCACATTTTAAAAAAAAAGCTTTATAATGTCTCAATTTCAATAAATATGCCATCATTTGTTTATATGTGATTATTCAGAAGAATGGGTATATAATTAATTATATTCAATAATATTAATATATATGAAATACTATAAAAGTAAATACTTCTGAGATCATGGATGATTTTGATAGAGTTTTGTTCTCTGAGCTGGATAGCTTAGTTGTGGAACTTTTATTGTTCTTCTGAGCGACATCATCAGCACAAAATTCAGGTAGAAGTGAAGTGTTCGAATATCTCCACATATAGTTCACAGCTTGTCCTGTACACCTCGATATTGATTGGTTCTTGTTGTAGAAGCTTGGTACTCAGGTCAATCAGTAATAAACAAACACATTGAAATCGACCCAATTTATCAACTAAATAGGAAAATTATGCATTAATATAAGAACAGAAATCAAACCAATGGGAGATAAAACCAAAACAAAGAAGTAAACGATGACAGGTTTAAGGTCAACAAAAACCAGTCAACATCGGGGTGTACAGGGCAAGCTGTGAACTATATATGGAGAAATTTGAACATTTTACTTCTACCTGGAGTTTGTGCTGATGATGTCGTTCAGAAGAACGATGAAAGCTCCACAACTAAACCATCCATCTCAGAGAACAAAACTCCATCAAAAAAGTGAATTCTTTTCATTTACATTTTCAAAAGTGAAACTTAGTTTCCACTTATTTTTTTACACTGCGATAGCTTCGTTTTGATAACCTTGAACGCTTTGCTGATCTCCGGATAATTGTTAATTTATATAAGCTTTATTTGACTCATCTGTACTATATGCTCACTTCGTAGATGCTGCAATATTTAGCCGAATGCTTGAATAATTTATGCTTTTTTGTTATATTAATTGAATATTTACACACTTTTCTACCAGTTTTGAATTCCTTATGCTTCTTGCTCGTGTTTGAATTATATTCTCCTACAAAACTTTGTATCGGTCTTTCTGATAGCATATTTTCAATAGTAGTCGGTTCAAACATTGGTTTAGCCTAAGAAGATATATGAGGTTAAATGAAATCTCGTATAATCAGAGACAGATCAGGTTTAGGTGAAATTTCTGCTACAACAAAAGTTAGGAACTCATTTCATTATTTATTAATAATATACAATCAATCGTAAACAGAGTAGTTTGCGATTTGTACAGGTAAGAAGTAGTTTTTCATTACATATTGTCATCGATTGGAAAATTATTTAAACTGGAAAGTTGTTGACAGATAATTAAGGTAGTTTTTTAAACTTATCGGTGGTAATCAGTCCTAGACGTTTAAGCATTGCTGTGAGTAGGATGCCTTTAAGACAATCATCTGGAATCCATAACTAATTGGTATTTTCAATTTCGATCAACTAAGAGTATGTAATACACTCTAATACATATAATTAATGAATTATATTATAGTCTCACTGAAGATAATATTAACTCAATGAATCAATTCTTTACACTAGATCTTGGGGCTTGTTGAAATCATTGTTAAAGTAAATGATTTACTCGGATGTTCTACATTTAAACATACCCCCCTATCATTGGTGGTTAGGAAGATGTTGAAAACTAAGCAATACTACTTAAATGTTATTTTGCCTCGGTCATATAGTCATGGAAATCCATTTCAATCTCTACCGACCAACCAGTTACATACATTTCATATAGTTTTCAGGTCAATTATAATATCGAAATTAAGGAATTATATATCAATAAATGTATTATATTAGTTAACAATATTAGCCATTTAAACACTTTTTTTTAAAAAAAATTTATTTCTGTAAGAAAAAGACAAAACACCATATGACATTCAATAAAGATTTGATAGTATAGCAACAACAACAAAAAAAAGTATAAGTGAAATGATTAATTAAATTTGTCATAGTTACTTTTTATAAGAAAAATTTTTTTTGAAATCTCAAGGGTGTTTTTAGTAATTCTGTTTATTGATTTTTAAAAACAAAAAAAATAAAAGTGTGTAACATGATCATGAAAGGTAAAAAATTCATATTATCATAAATTTTTATTAAAACTACAATCAAATAATTTAGATGGTATTATATCCCCGGAGATAGGGGATTTATTTATAGGGATTTTATTGTTATTTTGAATAATTTTTTCAGTGCTTGTGTTAATGAAACTATCTAACTGTGAAAAGAATAAAACATCCGATTAAACTAAAATTCTTTTATATTATAGTAAAAGTATATTCAAATGAGAATAGGTTCATGATTGAGAGAAATTTCAGTCTTTTATTATCTTGAAATTTACCATGTGCTCACTAATGACGAGTTTTGTCAGAGGATTCTCAGAGTTTTAGTGAGAAGCCAGGACCAGTGGAGATAATCCGTGTCCAGTAGAGACAGATATCTACCTCAGTACAATGGAAGATGGTTACGCAACTTCGTGGATTGGTTGAGATTAGACGTTAACACCATTGAATGCCGGCTCAGTAGTCCAGTAGGTTAAGCGTTCGAGCGCGAGACTGAAGGCCCTGGGTTCGAGTCCGGCGGGCGGGATCATGGGTGTGTACTGCTGAGTCTCACAATAGCATGGAACGGTCTTCCAGTGCTTCCAAGTTTTCAGTGGTGGTCTAACATCAATCGGTTCATGATCTCAATTAATAACTTGAAAGTAGTAGGAAAAATAGAATATATATGTTTGTTTACATTGTTTAAGTTTAAACAATACTTTGACAGAAATTGACAAATTTTATAATTACATTTTAGTCTATTTGCTGCTAAAACTACATGTATGACTTATTTGTATTAAGTAGTGCCATAGAGGGAAATGATAACAGTAATTAAAATGCGTATCTGACTAATGAAATATTGAGTCATTTTAATAAACAATTTTTTAATTGATTTTATTAAACATCTAATTCTAACATTTGAATTCATGAGTTGATCTAAGCTATACAACCATTAAAAACCTCAAAGCACTGGATGATCGTTTCATCTTAGTATGTTACTCCTCAGTGGTGCGTATTCATGATCACACACGTGTGACTCGAACCAAGGAACTTCAGTCTCGCACGCGAATGCTTAAATCTTGACCAGGTCCGACGGTGTTGATATCTAACTTCAATCAACATATGATAATGATCAATCCTTCATCTACTGCCCAAGGTGAATGTCTCTCACATCTTACACGGATTGGGTTTCACTTGTCACGGATTCTCATGAGAACTCCAGGAAATCCATCTTGAAACAAGTCATTAGTGTTTGCGTGCCAGACCGAAGGTCCTGGGTTTGAGTCCCGTGTGCGGGATCATGGATACTCACCACTGAAAAGTTTCATATTAGGACGACACCGACGTCCAGTGCTTCTAGATTTTCAGTGGTGGTTTAGCTGTTATCGACTCGTGAATTCCATTGATAAAATTACTACAATTTCCACAAATTTGCATTCGGACAAAAATTTAATTTTCTGCGCACGATAAGTTATGACTTACATGGAAAAGAACTATTCAAATAATCTCTGGTATTTATTTTCTAGAAACATGTTGAGATTATTGGGATCACTTTGGATGATCAATCTGGGATATAACTGTGGTTGATCCCATCGTGGTTAAAACATTCAAGTTTAAATAATTATGTCATACATTTGAATCCTGATCTAATTACTATGGTTAAAGCATTCGGAAAGTGTCAGTAATCCCTTTACAAACAGTGTGGTTCAGAACAGTATAAATAAGAGTCTACTGTACATTGCCGTCAACGGTTTTGGAACCCCATTGTCATAATATAGAGCCTTTATCCATGTCGGTGTAAGACGTTTTCGGCTTTACATTCAGTTTTTGTTCCTCCTAAATTCGAGTATTGTTTGTAAGCAGCTGGTAGCTGACTAAAAAAAGAGTGGGGTGTTCGAAAATGTTCAAAAAACAGCAACTAAGCTAATCCCCGGAATCCCAAAGCTCCCTTATAACAACAGACTGGCTAAACTAAACATATTTCCCTTGTCATACAGAAGAAACACAGGTGACTCAACTACAGTTTTCAGACTACTTAATGACGAATTTGCACTTGATATGCTCTCAGTTTTATTGTCTTTCAAAATAAAAGATTCATGTGGACACCAAAAATTTTTCACAAGCCCAGAACATATCACATGTCAGATGACTATCGATATCCCCACCAGATCACTAACGAATGCACTAATTAATTCAACACGTGATTGAAGCCCCATCTTTCTATGCATTCCAAGGTGAGTTCGATCAAATGAGAGACCACCATTCCCAGGACCAATGCAGGCCATCCAACCTCTTGTCCTTCCTAAACTGAAATTAGTAGGCGAGTTGTAGGTCTTAGAATCAAGTCACTTGAATGTTACAGAATAAATGTCGATCTAGTAGATAGGTGCTAAGTGGGTTGAAATATGATTCAAAGACGGAGTCAACACCGAGATGGTATGAAAAATTCCATAAGATTTGCTTGCAATTATGCTTGTCTACCGCATCTTATAGAAAAATTAGACTTGTACTAATATCATTTTTTACAGAATTCTAACATACTACTATGTTTATTAAGTACGTAAATTGAGATTATTAAAACTGATTAAAACACATTGGATGAACGAATCTTAGTCTTTTCGAAATACTCGTAATTTATGACAAACACTGGTCCCATCTTCGTTTTTAATGTTCAAGATGATCTTGGAAGCCCTCAGTAGTCAAACGTTTCAGTTACTCTATCGTTTCACATTTTGATGAAATCGTTTATAATAAGCCTGTTTGTTGAACTCTTGTTAATAACTTCCTACGACCCAGCCTGAATTTGAATAGAGAAAAGCTCCGAAATATAAACGTTGATTTATGTACGTAAAACAAGCAAGTTTGTAGGTTTACTGATAACAGCTAAACTCCGGGAACATGGCAAATTAAGTAATAAAGTAGTCATTCAGATCTTAATACGAAATCCGTCAATTTTCTGGAAGCTCTCGTGGCGTGCACTGATTGGGAAATTTTTTCCCAGTATTTATCTGAATTATATAAATTTTATCGAAGGATTCTCGTGGGATCCTAACAATGTGAAAGACCATTACCTCACATTAAATGAATGACCACTGTTTTTATCAGTAAATGACGTTGGTGTTCGCTCTAACCTTTCATCGTCGTTTCAGTTTAATTGGCTTACATCAAAATGCTCTACTAGAATTTGTTATTTTCATACAAACGTCTTTCTACTCCATTAAATCCCATATAGTCTTTCACAGGTTTCATGACAAAACGTTAGTATTTCATTTAGTTCTCTTTTCTAGAAAAACTAAGTACTAACTTTTTCCACGAATATATTTTATAATCATAACACAATTGTGAAATATGAGTTTTCTATACCATATGCTCATTTGTTATTAAATGTGTTTTGTTCTGTCTTATCTCTGCAAAACATTGTTCTGGTTGTGACTTTCTCGTCTAGCTCCAACTGACTCATGATCTCAACCATTGAAATTAGTACTGATTTATTATCCAGAGTGCTTATCACATTGTTTTTGTGTACTTTATTATTTTTTTTCTTTGTTACGACTTACCTTTAATCTGTCTAGTTGATCTTTTAATTTTCATATAAAAAAAAGATGTCATAACAAATAGATTATGTGTGATCAGATTGTTCGAAATGTATTGCGCAATTATATTACATAATTCTGATAAACTTCATCTTCTCATTATATTATCGAAATAAATATTATAAATTAATAGATTATAGAGTAAAATCACAATATGGTTTGTTGAAATCTGATTAGTCTAGTCTAATAATAGCATTAAGCATTGATAAAATGATTAAAATTAAGTAATGAACATTGTTTGATTTAAAATAATATAATTTTATTGAAAGTAGAAATGTTAATGATTGAAAAAATCTTGATAACTTATGTAGATAAGCCAGAAATAATAGTGACAGTTAGTTTCCATTTATTTAATGGAGGGAACGGTCTATAAGACTGATATCCTCTATTCGTTTAGGGTGTTTAATCGTATATCGTTCTTTGAAAATAGATTTTATACAAACATGTTATTGTATTAATTAGAAAAAAAACCCTGTTATTTATAGCTAATAGTCTCCTATTATCAGTTCATTATTCACTTTGTGTCAATAACCCGGTCTTTTGAACAGTCAACACTTGGGTTCGTAGCACGGTTGTGTTAATCTATTATTTACCATTTTATCAATTCATTTAAATGATGCAAAACCTGTTCATCATTCATTATTTGTTCCAACCTTTGATAGATTAGACAGCTTAATTATCCTGAGCTGTCTCCTTACTTTTCATTTATTAAAAATAATCATGCAATCCATTTTCATTTACATTATTAACTTTGATTCATTTAAAATAGTTTTTTCCTATTTGGGTTTATATATTACTGTATATTAAATTCAAGTCTGATCAGGATATAATTTTTTATAAAAGAAAAACACAACTGAATATATGTTATGATCCTTTAGATATCATTCATGAAAACAATTAAAATTTTGTATATTTAACATTGCTGTTCAATTCATTGATACAAAATAATGTACACTACTTTTCGCAACAAATAGGTTGGTTTTATTTTATAAGCGATCATTATTATACATACATTAAAACAAACAGTTCTAATAATAATAATAATAATAATAATAATAATAATAATAATAATAATAATAATAGGAAACTTCACATTGATTTATTGGCTTAATATATGTATATATTCAATTAACGAAACGGAAGTGAAGAGATCTGAGATTTAGATTTTCTAAAATAATAATTAGAAAAAGAAAACCCTCAATAGATATAAATCATTAAAGTAATAACTAGATATACAAGAAACTAGTTAAAATAGATAAAAAAGAAAACACACACACACGAATATTTATCTAAATAAGTTTGACTACTTATACAAAATATAGAAAATAAGCGCATTGACTCCAACCACCATCTAATCTCACAATAGTGCCCTCAGTGTCGAGTCACTTAGACTGGTGGCCAAATTGCAACATGGTCGATAGCATTCGATCTGCACTAATAGGGACTAGACACGCATGTCATTGATCAACACCCAGTGATCAATCAATTGTGATATGAAAGGTCATTTGTGTAGGTTTTTTATTATTATTTATAGTTGACTATAATTTACAGGTATGAATGTCAACTAAATTAATTTTAAAGAGAAAACAGAAAAAACGAATTTCGATGTAGAAGAATATGAATTCATTTTATTTCATTAGATTGTCATCAGCTGCCCACAATCAAAGTCATGACAGGTATTGAAATACTTATAAATACGAGGGTGATTAGAGATGAATATGTACATCATGATATAGCGAAAATTCTGATAAGGTTAATAAGATCTTGGATTTATTTCAGATAAATAAATGAAATATGAAAGGTACAGTTCCAGAACATTGAAATAGTGACTAAAAACCTGTTATGTCCTGATAAGCATAATGAATGGTAATTTGGGGGATCCATTTATGGACCAATACTATACGTACACTTTTATCGTATAATTGTTAAATAACTAAACTGTTCATATTCATGTCTCTCTTATAGTAAGCTTTATTTTGATCTACGAACTGTTATTATACGATTTACCATTCTTGAATTATACCCTGTCTATTAATCACTACCTCCCACATTCACAGCCACTTTTGGCCAAATCTTGTAGAAATGTTATTTTCTACTTTATTTCATACACATAGTTCCCTTTATCGTTTTGAAAAGAGCAAGAACAAACATTCTAGCAGAATAGCATGAATTCATTTTTATTTCGTTGGTTCTCGTCAGCTGCTTACAACCTGTGATATTTAAAATTATAATTACATAATGTGTTTAAATTACTTACATGAAAAAGTTTGATTGGAAGTTATATTGAAGGCATATTCGTATAGTATAGCGAGGGCGTAAATAAATTTAATAGACTGAATATTGTAAATATATACCTTATATAAAAGAACATTGTGACAACGGTTCAAAGGGCTAGAAACAAGTAAACATTGATAGGAAAAAAAATTGAGTCGAGTTCAGTTGATAAAAATAAGATTTAAAATTTTTTGGAAGATAGTTGGAATAAAACTCAATGATGTGATAAGTGCAAGAAAGAGTTCGAAGAAAACGAAAAAAAATATTAAAAAATATATATATATATTGAGATATAGCGAAGGAATATTAGTCACCAAGGCAAGGAAAGATTAATAACCATCTCCTTTTGAACACATAAATCAGGTTTTTGGCGTCTGATAGCAACTGCTTCAGCAAACTTCAGAAGACTGGAGTTTGGCTGCTTACTAATCACCTTGAACGATTGTAGGGTATCGACCTGATGTCCTGTATCAAGGAGATGTTTGGTGATTGCACTATTTAAAGTCTTTCTTTCTCTTGTTCTGAGGCTTCCAATCAAACTTTTTCATGTAAGTAATTTAAACACATTATGTAATTATAATTTTAAATATCACAGGTTGTAAGCAGCTGACGAGAACCAACGAAATAAAAATGAATTCATGCTATTCTGCTAGAATGTTTGTTCTTGCTCTTTTCTACTTTATGGTACGTTGTGGTCTGCTTGATTGGTATATAAACCGAGTATGTTTGAAATATATGATTCATATTGCAGCGATTGCTGAAATTGGTGTTCTGAACTTGACTGGCTGGGCTAGGCGGAAAGCAGGACCAATCAGGACTATAGGCTGCTCGTACGGGTTTTACGCGTCATTGACCCGATCGATAATTCACTGCTCCCTAATTGGCGGTATCATTACGTATACATTAGCAGGGCACACAGGTCACAAGTTATAACAAAATCATAGAGTTAACAAACATTAAATGATTGTCTAATAACGTGACTGAAAACAGATTAAGGGTGACAAGAAAAAAACATGAGTTGAATCAGTCAGTTATGAATTCAAGAAAAATGACGGTGTAATCAAAACTTGAGAAAAAGTTGAAATAATGAATAATGCAATAAAGGGATTTAGTGTCACCAGGACCAATAAAGACTTATTACTGCTTCTTTTCGGATACATGGATCTGGTTTCAGATATTTGATCGCTATAGCTTCAGTAAATTTTAGAGGATTGAAGTATGATTGTTTATTAATCACCTTAAAAGAAGTCAGCGTATCCATTTGATGTTCTGTATCTAGATGTCTCGAGATGGCACTGCTGAATGCTTTTAATCTACTTGACCCTAGACGTTCTAAAATATGTTCTTCGAATCGGACGTAGGCTCTCCTTTCTGTTCTACCGATGTAACTGCTTTGCAGATACATATGGATTTGTATTCATAGTTGGTGGTAATATAAAAAAGATACCTATTGATCTCTGATTGTGTTGTTTTGGACAAGACAATCATTTTAGCTGACGGATATGTTCTTGATAATACAGTTTTTAGTCTTATGTTGATTGACCCTGTGACATCACCTTTTAATTTAAGTTGAATAAAAATAGGTTTTTTGTTTACTGTAGTTTCTTTCGGTGTTTTATCTTCACTTTTACTTAACTGGTATCAAAATTGTAAATTTAAATTATTACTTTGATGAAAATTAATCGACCACGTATAACCGTTATGAAAATACAATAAGATCTAAATCATGATATAGCTAAAATGTTTTTTGTATTGTGCAATCAAATCACTAGATGATTAAATACTACATAGATGTTTCATATCAAAATTAAGAAGAAATATGGTCTCAATGCTTATGACCAGTTCATGTGCGTGTCTATATGCATGAAAGCATCGAGATCACCCGCCTCGATTCTCAAACATATATAGCATTTAAAGTAGAAACTAATACCCTCGACCACACAAATAATCGAAATCATTTAAGAATCGCGAGACCTTGAGTACTTACGTAACATTAACTCTCTCATGTAATGCATAATTTGTTAGTAAGACAGCTATTTTGATCTGATTTGCTGTACTTTTTTAGTGTAATACTTGATAAGACAAATATTAGCATTAATTCAGTCAATATACTTTCTTCTAAACAACTTAAGTAGAGGTGAATAGTATACTGACGTTATTTTGATTTAATCATCTGTTGTTTTGCAATTCTATGGGTCAGCAGAGACAAGTAAAAGTATGTTCTTCTTTCATTGAAATTACGAACTGATTTAAGTTAAATAATCATTGAAAATTTGAAAGCAGTAGACGACCTTTCTGTCCTATTATTGGGATTACTTAGTAAGTGTGTATCAACAAATCCGCACTTGCGAGTTAAAACCTGGACCTATTTTTGGTGAATGTGTTGGTTCAATTTCAATGATTTTTCATTCTTCAGTCATTCCAACTTTTAGCTATATATGAAAATGTGCTTAAAACAATAAAAAAGTGAGTTACAACATGGTATTTTGTAAACTTAGTTATTCTAAACTTGGAAGTTAACTGAAACTATGGATTAATTTCATTTATTTCTAAAGAAATTTGTTTATTTATTAGATGTGTATTAAAATGGAACTGTTGTTTCTTTCTCCTTCGTTTTTTAACGATTATCTTACTAAATTCACTTAATGTAAACTAAAAAACACTCTAGGATGTTCATTAATGTCTAGTATTAGAAGTACAAATTACGAAGAAAATGTGTAGGTCAGACGAAAAATTCGTTGATATGGCATTCTTTTCTGAAGTGAGTAAGTCAATCTTGAAACTTTCATCATCTGTACAAAGTTCAGAAATAGATGAATCATTAAAATCTTATCTACTAGTAACCAATAGATTGTATTATCAACATTGGAAGTGAGTAATTGTCATCAGTAATTGAGTTGCAACAGTTTATTTATATACTTTGAGTGCTTTTTGCTTGGGTTGATTTATAACTTTGTAAGTGGTTATAATTTTCCCTATCAACATAAACATTTTATATCAAATAATTAAAATTCCAAGCTTTGAAAACTTGTATTGTTCATATTTTCAAAATCAATATGTCTGATATTTCAATTATACACACAGTCATGACACAAACATGGTTTGAATTAATGTCTTAAAATCTAACTTCAAATTTATGTCGTATGGAATTGATCAGATCGTGTATAGTGTGGTAACTTACTAAAGACATATCCATGATGGGTCGAAAGTTGGATAAATTGAGAAGATATAGATCACATGGTATAGATTCAGTGGTTAGTATTTTCATGACGGACGCCACAATATTTTATAATTCTGGGTTTTGATATTTTGTGAAGTCTTAAAATGTACTAAGCTGAAGAAATTATTATGATGTTCCTCAGTTGTGTTAGTTCTCCAACTGACTTTATTGTGGGTGAGAATCATCGTTGAATAATAACGCAACCTTCAGAAAGCAATTTAAATAATCTTTTTTCAACATCCATGTCAGAATACTGAGATTAATAACTTGTATGTGAAAAGTATGAAATTATGGAAGAAACTTTATTCAAAAAATCAGTATTCGTACAAGAAACAAGGGATTTCACATGACCTTCAGATTTTAGAATTCTCTAGAAAGTGCTGAGTTAACGACAACATCGTTAACTGCATTGCAAGGATAGTGAAAACATAACCCACCGCTTTCTAGGAAATGTCTACGAGTTTGTAAACAATGTTGGAACATGAAAGTATTTTCAGCATTGTTCTGGCTTCCGAAGAACGTTTTGAGGAAGTATTGAGGGCTCCCGACATTTTTATTATTGGTAATTATAAGTAATCAAATTGAATCACTCTTATAAGTTTTTTACAATGATCCTATCCTGAAGGACAAAGTTAACCAATATACCGAGAGAGGAAATTTCTCAATTACAATCCTGCAATATTTTCCTACCCCACGTATACTATTTCGATTACCGTCCAGCATTTTAAGCTTTGACTAGTAACTCGCTTAGACTAGCATGGTTAACACTAAGTTAAGACTGAGAATAATCCTGAATCCTATTAGTCCGGAACGTATTCTGTTCTTCTAACCCAATCTCCCATCCGACAGTAGAATACGGTAAGCAACAGTATAGTAGCATACCTTATGTGCATCAACAAAGATCAATTTCCTGGTTGCACATCAAAATGATCACGAAATTACAACATGACACAACTACGCCGAAAGTTGAATAGGACAGAGGAAAAAGGTGAGTAGCCATAATTAAGGAATAGTACAACATAAAAGAGTAGTTAATTGGTCCACTGAAAGCTTATAGTCAACGGAATACAGAAATACAGTCATTCAATTATTCGTTAATTATACAATGGGAATATATATATAATAATAGTCTACAAGGCAGTTTTAACAGTTTGAAAATCTTCGGTATTTATTTCGCCACAACATACTTAATTGGTTAGTAAGTCTTTCAATACTCAATTCACTTTAATGAATCAAAAATAAGTCAAGTTGTAAAAATTTCACTCACCGAATAATCGGATTAACTGTTGATTTCGATGGTGTTAAGCTGGATTGTGAACGCCACTGTGAATCTAAACGTGTGTAAATTCCAGCCTGATACTAAATATTAAATGTTTTTTTTTAAAAAAAGGAGATAAGATCATCATATCTAATTATAAACCCAAAATAATAAATAGTCATTTCTATAAATTTGTATAAAGAAATAAGAAGATAAAGTTGATTTGAAAAATGCAATATACCTAGATGGTCGGCTTCATTATCACTTAGGGTCAAACACTTTGATAAACGTAGAAAGTGAAAACGCATATTAATAATGATAGTAAAAAAGTATAATTGAAATGAGACAAAGAATTAACATCAAGATAGTTTTTAAAATGTTATATAAGAATTGTTAAGGATCAGTTCTTTGGTTTATAGATAGTGTGGTTGTTCAGAAATTCACCCTCCTTCGTTGCCTGATAGGCGTGAATTTGTCACTCTCTTTTATTTACAATTACCAATTTGTATTCACTAGAACTTTTGTTTCATTAACCTTTTTTGTTTCTCATATATAAATACCATAAAAAGTATGTGCGTAGTCAATATGTTCGGAATGTATAGCGAAAATATATATTACATTTTACAGATATTATTTATCTATCGAGATATTTGATTTTGTACTGTAAATAGTAAACAGTTGATCATCCTCTCGAACGATAAAAGGTGCTGGGAAGAAAATATTATGTACGTTTAAGCATTAACGTTCAAGGCTGAAGGTCATAGGTTCACACAGCTGAGGAGTCCCAAACTAGAACAAAACGATCGTCCATTGAACACAGGCTTTCAATGGTTGTCTAAGATAGATCGGTTTGTGGTTTCGACAAAGATTATTCGCAAAACTACATCTTGTAGTGATTTTATTTTATTAAATTGCAGTAAGCTAAGAGGTGTATACAATTATTGTATGCCTTCCACACACTCGTACCCTGACTATTTTAAAACTATCCTTCAAAAACTAAACGGAAGTTCTCATTAAATTAACGAACTCTGCTCTCATATTTACCGTTTTGTTTCGATATGCAAGAATCAGAAACCACTCAATCGCTGCCCGAGTAAGCATTATTTTTAAATTGGCCGTCATATAGTAATTTAAAATAACACATTACTTAATGACTTACTTAAGCCTATTATCCCTTCTGAGATAAAGGCCGCTGACCAGGGATGTCCATTCATTAAATACTATGTTTTTAGTACTACCAATAGTACTGAGATCTTAAATTAATATTAATAGTAAGGAATGTTCGAAATACTGTCACTCAGGTGGAAAAAGCTTAGTGTTATTGTGTCCTCTGAACAAGGCAATTTAATTGCGCACCTTATGTAGTCGTTCTAGATAACATCAATAGGACCTACTTCAAATGTTATCTCTTTCACAAGTGCCAAATTAGTTTATCCTAATGATTTTGTCTGTGAATAGGTGTCTTCATATTTTCTTAGATAACTTCGGATTCCCGATAAATTGACCAGTGATCATGGATGTTAGACACATTTGGTGACAACTTGAACTTACATCGACATGTTTGCTAAATTTAAATATACCTGAATCCCATGCTCCTAACAATTTCCTCGTTATTTTTTAGGATTATTTTATACAAAAACTTGGTATACTCACACTCAAAATTTTGTCTTTATATACCTAAGTGTATTTATATAGGTCACTTCAGTCGTATATTTTAACTGCTAGTCTTCATTTGTAGATACTTAGGTGAACACAGGTCTAGTTTGTTTAGTGTAGTACCTCATAGTGTAGAACAAATTATTTTGCAGATGATGTTAAATTAATCTTCTTTTACTATTGTTTCCTTCAGTTTGTATAAAATGTAATGAAGTGGTTATTGTTGATGTGTGATTAACTCTTGTTTTAAAATTCTCATAGATATTACTGAAATGCTTTTCATATTCACAATGAAACTATCTGTCTAGATTGGCAAACAAAGTATTATTAAAAGAACGAAGTTTTAACATAGCTACTTTGAATGCTTTCTTAAAATAGTCCATATTCATCATTCCTTTGTTAGATTTACAAATATATTGTGTAAAATATTTATAGATAAAATATTTAATTCAGTAGGAGGATCTTAGAGGTGTTATATTTTCTTATTTCGATGGATTGTTCGCAAACTACTCATTGTATTTCTAAATAATCTCATCATCGCATACTTCTATGAAGAATATAGTGAAAGCTTTAGAATCGAAACATATTCAAAATACTTTTTGGTTGGTCAAACTGAACTAGACTCAACACATTTTGAACATGGAAACAAAGATTGAAAGTTGGATGCTATCAACATTCAATCAATTAAATAATTTATTTTATACACGCATTTATTCTATGAATCATAAAAATTGATAAATTTGTTAATTGTATTACTTAAGTAATAAAATATAAGAAAAACTAACTTCTTTAGAAGTTGTTATCTCTGAACATGTGGTTGTTTTTTGACGTTGTGCACATAAGAATTCAGTGAGTTTTTGCATTCGACGTAAATCTATGTTCAGAAAGTAGAATCAGTAAGGAATTAAGAAAAAAATAACAAATTAGGCAGAGAAATACATTTCATATTTAAATATGAAAATTATTTTCTGGCATTTAATAGGTCATTTAATAGGTTCATTCAATTACTTCTCAGTTATACTGTCCTAAGTAGGAAAAATAAACCCGAAAAATGGATTAAATTGTTAAATAGAATAGATGAGCTCTAGATAGTAGTTAAAACTTTATATTAGTCATCCAAACATTAACTATTTGATTTGATTTTATATGACAAACAGTCCTTGATTCACATGTTACAATTTTAAATGATGTATTCTACCTTAAACCTGATCAACTTTATGGATTATTGTATTAGATATATAATTGTAGAATCTGAAGAAAAATTATTGAAAAGAATATTCTTCGTTCATATAATTGTGTTTTAATATAATAGGCATTTTCCAGCGACGAAATATAAATTATCGAAATGAAAACAAAAAGAGAGTATGAGGAATTTAGAATTTCAGCATTAGGGGGAAAACGAAGAATGGATGCACCTGCTCCATTGCTCACGATTTTGGGACATATCATTCAGAGTCTCTAGTCACTGGTTACGATAATCACGTGGACCCAACCAGGTTATTTACACCTATGAACATAACTCAATCCAGTTGTCGGTGATTTCATAGCTGATGTGATGTTTTGGTTTGACCATCTCGAGCTTTGTTCCAGCCTACTCTTGCACCAGAAAATATCACCTGTCAATGCAGACGGTGATTGGGCACACGTAACACATGTCCCAGATATCCTCAGCTGGTGAAGATTCTTTACCACACCAATCGTTTTGCCATCTATACCTAGTAACTTGTTCCTATTCCGGAAATTGCTTACTTTGTGGTCCCAAAATACACGAGGAATGCTTCGTAGATGCCTATGATCGAATATCAATAACCCATAAATGTCTTCTATTTGTAATGGCCATGTTTCACATCTGTGAAAGTATGTCTACTACAAAGTTGGATAAAAATGAGGAAAGCGGATAATCCTGACAAACACCACTTGAAGTAAGCGATTCTGATGACACTTTTGCATAAGTTCTGACTCGACCAGTAATGATCGAGTAGAGAGTCTGAATGAGGTTGGTGTACTTGTTTAGTACTCCTTTGAATGACAGAAGCTTCCACAGAATCTCACGATCAATAGAGTTGAACGCCACCTTTAGATCAAGGAATACAGCTATAGCCGGACATCGAAAAGCATGTTCATGCTCCAGAACCTATCGGAGGGTGAATATTTGGTCTATACATCGACGTCTATGTCTGAAAGCAGCCTAGTTTTCTCGGATTTGCTCTTAATGAGCTCTAGTCAGACTTCGAATTATTATTGAGACAAATATTTTAGACGCTATTTTAGTTAACCTGATTTCTCTGCGATTGTCACGAGTGTATGTGTGTGAAGTGTGTCTGAAGGCCAGTTTAACTTTTCCTTAAAGCGCTCTGCCTGTTGGTCCAATTTCCTGAACTGAAAGTGTATAATAATTCTGTCTTTTCCAAGATAGTTTCACTAACATCCAGAAATTTTAGTACTCGTTTTCTTGGTAAGTCTGAACATTTTTCTATTTTTACTTATCGCTTCCGCCTTTTTCATCTTTTCTGCTTTTGCTACCTGCAATTCCTCACGATCATTAAGTTTGTTTTTTATCATCCTACGTTTAAAGTGCCATCGCTTCTCATCGCGGGATGAATTTCCGAACATCTATCGATTCTATAAACGCTGCTAAAATACATTGACTTTTCTTGACCTTTTAGTTTAAGTTACTAGTAGATATCACTGTTGTTTCCACAGCATTTTGGATACCGTACCAAGCTATCTCGAGGTGGATGTCATTCTCAAGGTTGACTAGCTCTTTCTCTATTTCCTGAAATATATGAGCTTTTTCATTATAACGTTGGACTCTAAGCTATAGCATTTCCAGAGAACAACCCAAGTCTCGGTACTTATACGAAATTTATAACACTGTTTTCTCTTTCTTGGTTCAATTAGTCTTAACAAGCCATTTTACTTGTTGTTATTTTACATACCCTTACCGAGTTTATTCTTTTTCATCTGTTTTGTAAATGCACTCCTAAGTCTAATTATTTAAACACTTCTTATTAGGTTGTTTTCATGATTTTTAATAAATGTCGTTTCAATGTCTATTTTCCAAGTGTTTGACCTACTTTCTGACATAAAATCTTGATTCATGTCTTTATTGTACTTATGACTTATCATCACAATATTAATTTGTACGTTTTAATAATTATATTTAGTTGTGTAATCTACTTTGTTGTTATCATTAACTTGTAAAGTGCCTTGACTGGTTTATGAATTTTATTTATAAATCTAAATATCACCGTATATTACAGTAAAGCATAATAAGAATCTAATTGAAAACATTATTTGTCGCCTGTGTACGCTGTTTCAACTTACAATAGATGAGTTTTTAACATTGTGAAAGCCGATTGATAGTTTGGTTCTTCAGGAATCATTTGATTGAAACTTCAATATGATCCTGTTAATTCTATTCACATTTATGATGTATGGAAAGCCAACATATGATATCAGCTGAGGTAAATATAAGTTAAGACTTCGACAACAAGTGCGAATCTTGTGGAAAAGAATACATTCTCAATATAGGGTTCACAAACACAATACATTTTTCTTTTATAACAGATAATTCTCACATTTATATAATTGGTGGCAGACGACATGAAGTCTTGACCATGGGTTTAGTGTTAATTGGCACTCATCACCAAAGTATATCTATAGTTCAAACTTCATTAGTTGGTGTTACAGTCAAAAATGGTACCATTGACCTACTTGGTTGACAACTGACCTGACAAACTATACCCTCCATAAATCAACTTTCATTAAATTCAACAAAAGATTTATTAAAATCAAAATGAAATAACCTTCTTGACGTTGATTATCTTGATTAATTCGATTACATTTTCCTGTGTCCCATACACGTTCATGAAGTGTTGACGATAATAATCCATTCGAATTAATTATTGGTGTTAAACCATTCACTATATTGTCAATATCATTTGATTGGTTAATCTGAACTAGTCGATCTTCATATTTAGTATCAAATATTGGCTCTACCGGTTGATTATTAATTGTTGCTTTAAAAAACTTTATATTAATGAATTGAATGAAACAAGTTTATATGTAAATATGTGTATTTTAAATTTTGGAAAAGAATACAAACACAGTTAAACAATTACAAAATAAACGGTAATTACTAAACAAATCATGTTAATAATAAGAATAATAAGCTGCGCTCAATAAGTAATTACCATTTTTGTAAAATGATTTTGATAACTTTGTCAAGAATCACACTGATAAAACGATATGATCAGTGTGAGGATTTGTGGAGATTGTAGCATTTCTACAGTTGAAATCACGATTTGGTCTAAGCTGGACCACCACTGAAAACCTGGAAGCACTGGATAGCCGTTTCGTCCTAGTACAGAGTCTGATCCATGTCGGGTGTGAAGCAGATATCCACCTCAGGCATTGAATCAAAGGTGGCGCAATATCATGGATTGATTGAAGTTATACATTAACATCGTTGGATGTCAACTCAGTGGTCTAGATTTCAAGCGTTCACGTGCAATACTGAAGTTCCTGAGCTCGAGTCATGCGTGCATGATCGTGGATATGCATCAATGAAAAGTCCTGTACTGGGACGAAACAGTCGTCCAGTGCTTCCAATTTTTAATGGTTGTCTAGCGTAGATCAACTCGTGATTTCAACTGTAAAAAAATGATATTGCATATACTAATTTAGCGTAAAGGTTCAATGAAATGATTATCAATTAAGACGTTGATTGATTCTGAATTATGCTATTTTATCATCTAAATAATCCTATTGTTAAAACAATGTAAATTATTTATCCATAAACTTATCGTATTTTTGGTTGATTATAAATGTGTTTAAGTAAGAAATATATTTTTATTTAATACCAATTCACGCCAGTCACGTATCAGACTATATCTTTTGAAATCCAAACAAAATATTGAAGAAAATAACTATAGCCGTTGATATTTTGTGTTGTACAGTGCAATCCGTTTCTTATCAGTACATCACTCTATTGACTTCAGTTAAATTTCGTCAAATCAGTCTATGAAGTGTAAAATTGGGGGATTTCAGTGGTTAAATCTTACACGAATCAGTAATTATGGTTTATTCAACATATTATTACTTTGAAAATTACACACACTTTACAGAACAATAAGATATATTATTAAAACAGCCATAAAGGCCAGTACAAATGCAATACGCAATTTAATTCAGCAAAACTTAGTTTCGACCTTTTAAATGATATCACCAGTCATTTTCTGAATTGTATAAATGCATGCACATAATCGCTGATGCCTTCGAACCATTTGTGTATCGTGAAGCAACCGAGTGATCAATGTTTAGTTTAGACATAGGGTACTAAGTAAAATTGGCAAATCGAATAATGAGTTTGCACATTTTCGTAGACTGTGGTTATAGCATGCATAAGATATACTCGAACACCACCTATCACGAGCTATAATAATAGTTGAAATAGGAGTAAGTTGTAAATATGTTATGGATGGACAAATAAAAACATGGCCCTATTCGATAAAGTCACTGACTGTTCAACTGGGCTATATCTGTAAGTCCAGACAACCACGCGATAACCGTGATCAGCAGTTGATTTCGTAGAGAGACATAGATCAGAATCGGTTACAATGACACAGATGTATGGTCTTTTTGTTGTCATATAGATCTTGAGTTCCAGTATTTCTTAATGAACATCACTAAATCCTATCTTTTCGAACTACGTTCTCAATTAACAAAATAATATATTTGTAATATCCCAATGGATAGAAAAATGAGGTTTTCTGACGTTTCGTGACTGAGTGTAAGCCACTTCTTCATTCTCAGAAGAAGTGGCTTACACTCAGTCACGAAACGTCAGAAAACCTCATTTTTCTATCCATTGGGATATTACAAATTTATTATTTTATTTATAACAATCTACCCAATGCCCAATTTATTCGAAATTATCAAATCAAACCTTGGTAATGATATCTACGTTCTCAATGTTTAATTCTAATTGGATAACTTTAAATTCTTTATATATATATATATATATATATATATATATATATATATATATATATATATATATATATATGTTTCCATCGGCCTCTGAAGTTATATCATGATAAATTATCTTCAAACCCCTAATAAGTTATAATCGCTGGAAAGTTTCAAACTACAGTGAGTTAGTCTTTCAGTTCTCTCAGGTTCCCAATGACTTTCTAGCTGATATTTGTTAATGATGAAAACCATGGTGTATTTATACAGATGGTTGTATACTCCACTATCAACCGATAAGTTAAAAAATCAATTGACATGAACTATTTAGTTGTAACAGTATTTTTTTAGTATCGTTTCTTTAATTGGATTTCAAAATAACAAAAATGTTCTAAAGTAATAAAATATCATGATCTACGGGAAATAAATAAAAATGAAGACATAACTTTGAATTTGTTGGCTAATCTGTATTGTGTTTTTTTTATAAATTCACAAACATTTGTACATTTAAAGCAATTAGTCCCTTTTATAAATTTTTAGAGAACAATGAGAAGACGGAGTTGATCTGAAAAATGTGATGTATTTGTGCTATACATTTCGAACAATCTAGTCACATATATAAAATGCTCTGACAAGTATATGTGTGACTAGATTGTTTGAAATGTATGGCGCAAATACATCACATTATTCAGATCAACTCCGTCTTCTCATTGTTCTATCGAAATTTGTACATTTATTATTCGTCCTGTCTTTTAAGTTTTTTTTCGTATTCAATTTATCCATTATAATGTATTCTTTTTTATAATAATTGAAGTAAAAAATGTCTTTTTAATCACTTGACTTTAAAAACCGTCATTTATTTACTTCGATATATAGTTAACATTTGATTAACGTTGAAGTTTGATTGAAAAAAATAAATCCAAATATTTTTACATACAGACTGATATTATTGTGTTCTCTGTGCTAGATTGTCTAAGTAAAGAGTTTTCTTTACTATTTTGGATTAGTACATCAGTGCTTACTTTATGTAGAAATGAGGTTCTTAGTTATCCCAAAAGTGATAAATTAGTAAATTTAGAAGCTAAGGGCGGCCAGACCAAAACATGGCACAAATCCATGAAGTCACTGACAAGTGAACTGAGCCATGTTGGTAGGTCATAAGCAACGTGGTTTTAAAAGACAGAATGAAAATGTGTATGTATGAAGGAGTACTGGGACTCGTGATCTAGATTACGATAGACAGTGCATGTATATGGGTCACTGTGACTGATTCTAAATGATGTCGCATAACGTCGTCAACTACCGATTGCCGTTAACGAAAACAAATGAAACGTTAAAATTATTTATGTGAAATGAATAAATATTCTTTAGTAGATGACTTACATTCGACATTTCTGGTTTATTATATTTATCAGGTTCTTTATCTAAACAGGCTAAAAGTGTAAATGCTGGAGCTTTGTAAACAAGTTCTTTATTACAAATAATTTGATTTAAGTCAATTTTATAATTGTATGAATGTCCATCATTAATAACAGAACCAGATAAATTATTGTTACTAAGAATAAAATAGAAAAACAAATAATAAATTAAATATTTGTGAAATGTTCTTAAATTTTCTAATTTGATAATTAATTCAGTGTAGATTTTCGAAGGTTCAATTGAGAAATTATGATATACTGAGTCAACGGTATTGAAAATAAGGTAGTATATATAACTGATTTACCAAATACCAGTATATCTACTCAACTATGGACCACCCTCATATTTAAGGGCTGTTGATACTACGTAGCTAGTAAAAGCAAGGTAAGTGGAATAGGTTTCGAACGGTTATTTATTTGAACACATAGACATTGGTACAAGGGGACACCAGATACATATGCACCACACAAATCTCATTTGATTTGTGTAAGGGCTGCGACACTGTCCGGGTGCCCAAGCTGAAGCAGGCGGTTCTTTTAGGGGCCACACTCGGAGACTTCGACCTAAAGGTCTGATCCACAAGGCAGTGGAGCAACGTCAGGAGATGCAGTCCCATGGTAGCTGGTGACCAACGATTGGTTCATACTCCATTTGTCCCCTCAAGATCCTGAAGTCAGTGTGCACCATTGATTTGGAATCAGGGTTTTCCAACTCCCCTAGGTGAACTCTCTATGTCCACCAACCCGGTTAAAGCGCCGGACATTCGTTCTTCGTCCTCTCAATTTCGTAAACAACACAACAAGGCAGTGAGTAGGACTTCCCTGGCAGAGGCTATATACGCGTGGTCATGTGAGAGCATTTGGAGAGGGAGAGCTGACTCTCCTCACTCTCGGCCGTACCACGGCATCTGGGGGCAATAGTAACGGTTCAAAGGTTAATACATCAATCACTTAACAATTATTTCCCTAATGAAGTGGTAACTCGTTGATAATATTAAATAAAGACTGTCCTATAGGACAAATAGAGTAAAATTAAGATTGTGAATCACTGGATTCCCACTACAAAAATAAAAAAAATATTACACGTATCTACTGTTATGCTTTGCTGAACATTAGAAGGGAACTGTCACATTTTAGTTTGTTAGAAAAAAAACGCCAGTAACAATGTCTAATGAACGTTGATAGTTTTTAGTTTAAACTAGTAGCTAACAATCTTTAAACATCTATTTAATACAGCTAGTTAGTCAAAAGAAATTGAGTTAATATTTTGGTGAAATATACATGAGATACTAGTGACATATTATTCCTCTTATTCATTTTCGAAATATTTATAGTACACTATGATAAATACTTAAGTAAGGGAAATAATCTTATTTATAGGAGCTCATCTAAAGTTGGTTGGTAAATAATGTTCTAATCCTGTTGGCACTACGGATTTCATCATCAACTTAGTATTTAGGCATGATGCAGAAAACTATTCAGTATGTTATATTATATATAGAAAAATGTCCTTTGTAGTTTGGACGTATACTATGCATAACATTTCAGCGGATTCTAGACCAAGTACACACTTAGCTAATACTAGAATTGAGTAAGAAAATTAGAGTAGATCAACTTATTATATTAAGCTATGGACTGAAGAATAGTTTTATTAAAATAACCTCTATTGGCATACCTGGAATCTATAGATCATATGATTCAATAATTCAAGAAGTTATCAACACATAGCTCATCAGCAAAACGTGTTTTAATTCGGTACTTTGTCTTTCGAAAATGTAGTAAAATGTGCATTTTCAAAAACATAAAATTTAACATTGCATTATTCGTATTTAAACTGTATCTACTTCAATAATCACTATTTTGTCATCACTATGTTAAACTGCTGTCTTTTATGTTTTCACAAAACTAGAACATCATGAATAGGCTGAAATTACTTGATGAGTATCAACTATACATCAATTTGATAAATTTGTCATGATTTTCAACTGAATATTCACAGATCAAATTAGTTATTGACCTGTAGTTATTTTATGAGAAAAATATATCAACAGTTGAAATCATGAGTCATTTGAAGCTAGACCACCATGGAAAACCTGGAAGCACTGGATGGCCGCTTCGTCCTAGTACGGGACTCCTCAGCAGTGCGCATCCACGATTCCGCCCCTCGCGAGATTCGATTCTGATAATAATCATCTGCTCACTAATCGCTGGCTTCAAGAGGCATTTCCTGGAGTTCTAGTGAGAAGCCATTACCAATGGAGTTCAACCAGATCTGTTGTGGGACATCAGCTCACTGAAGACAATGGTGTATGGTGGCGCAATTTCGTGGGTTGGTTGAAGTTAGACATTAACACCGTTGGATGCTGGCTCAGTGGTCTAATGGTTAAGCGCTCGCGCACGAGACTGATAGATCCTGGGTTTTTCATGGTGGTCTAGCTTCAATTGACTCGTTATTTCAACCATTGAAATTTCTAAAAATCTCAACAAAACCCCTTCTGAGAAAAATATATATCAATAAATTATCCTTACTTATTTTGATTGAATGATCGTTTAGTAGCCCATGACATAATCATTTCACGATGTTGTATGCATAACTTTGTTACAGGATCTGAACTATCTTCATTCAAAATATGTTCACTTCTGTGACATCCCTGTATGTAGAATTTTAAAATGATAAATTTTCAGAGTGTAATGAGATCTGTATTAAAATTAATCCTATGTATATTTTTGCTAAAGATTAGAATGGTTACGTGTCTAAACTTCATTAGCCTCATCTAAGATTTTGACGTGAGGTAGAATAGAAAAATCCATTTTCACTTTTTCTAAAGAGAAAAGGATTTAAAATTTTCTCTCAGCATCCAGTTTATCTTTTAGCTTTCTACAATTATTTAGTGTATACAAGTTAAGTGATTTAAGGGTCATGTTCTACACATGATCTTAACCATTGAAATAATTAGTTTAATTCAATCTTTCAATAAAAGAAATATTATTCTCCAAATATACATTATGTTCTGTTCTTTTGGGTTTTAAACTTACAGTTTGAGTTGGGAATAAACTGAATCTTGATAAGCCAAATCCACAACATGGATAGATGAAATCAGGTTTGTCATGTCTGAAAAAAAAGAATTATATATATAAGCTCAAAATCACTTTAAAATTCTAGTCAGTAAACTTTAGCAAATATTTATATTTTGATCAAAGTCGTATCAAGCTGAATCTTTTACGACAATAATTTATCAGCTAGTTGATTTGTGAATATTGGTCCACTTAGAAGATACGTTTACATCACTAATTGACTTCAGTTCAGAAATCATTTATAATTAGAAAGCACTAGGCAGTTTTTTGTTCTAACACAGAGTTCATAATTTGTATAAACATACAACTATACATGAAATCGAAGGGTAAGAACTTCATGTCCGGCAGTGAGCAAGATACTATTGTATCGGTGAGTAAGAATCTAGCTGTTAATTGATAAGATGGGATTAAAAAGTGAAAATTATATTCTTTTACTTATTGTGATTTTTGTTCAACATCACTTCCATATGTTTAATTCAATGTGATAATTACTTAGTGTAGTATTTATGTTTGTTTTCCAGTGTAATATTTTATTCGGCATAACATTATTTAAGCGTCATGTTTATTCAAGATACAATATTCTTGTATTAAATTGACATAAATTATCTTCATCATGACACACAGCATCTGGTTTGTTATAAATCTGGGTATTTTTTGTATATAATCCACCAACGACGGAAGAAATCAGAATGACCATCAGACAAATCAAGAGCGGGAAAGCAAAAGGACCCAACAATATACCAGCTGAGGCACTGAAGTCAGTCATCGAAGTAACTACAAGCATGCTTCATCTTCTATTCAAGAAGATTTGGGAGGAGGAACAAGTGTTGATGGACTGAAAAGAAGGACCCCTTATCAAGATTCCAAAGAAAGAAGATCTGAGCAAGTGTGAAAACTACAGAGGGATTACACTACTGTCAATACCAGGAAAAGTCTTTAACAGAGTGTTACTGAACAGGATGAAAGACGCAGTAGACGCTCAACTTCGAGATCAACAAGCTGGATTCCGTAAGGATCGGTCGTGCACAGACCAGACGGCAACACTACCGATCATCGTCGAACAATCAGTTGAGTGAAACTCGTCACTGTACATCAACTTCATTGATTACGAGAAGGCATTTGACAATGTAGATAGGAGGACGTTATGGAAACTTCTTCGACACTACGGAATTCCTGAGAAAATTGTCAATACTATCCGGAACTCATACGATGGACTACAGTGCAAAGTCATGCATGGAGGACAGCTGACAGATGCGTTCCAAGTAAAGACCGGAGTCAGACAAGACTATCTAATTTCTCCCTTCCTCTTTCTTCTGGTGGTCGATCGGATAATGAAGACCTCGTTATCTGAGGGAAACTACGGCATACGATGGACAGCTCAGAACCAATTAGACGATTTAGACTTCGCAGATTACCTAGCCCTTCTATCACATACACACGAACAAATGCAGATAAAGACAGCCAGCATAACAGCAGTCTCTGCATCAGTAGGCCTCAACATTCACAAATGGAAAACCAAGGTCTTCAAATACAACACGGAGAACACCAATCCAATCACTCTTGATGGCGAAACTCTGGAAGATATAGAATTCTTCACATACCTGGGAAGCATCATCGATAAATAAGGAGGTCCAGATGCAGACATGAAGGCGAGGATTGGCAAAGCAAGGGTCACATTCCTTCAATTAAAGAACATATGGAACTCAAAACAACTTTCAACCAATATCAAAGTCAGAATCTTCAATATGAACGTCAAGGCAGTTCTACTGTACGGAGCTGAAACATGGAGATCTACTATAACCATCATCAAAAAGGTACAAGTATTTATCAATAGCTGTCTACGCAAGATACTCAACATCCATTGGCCGGATACCATCAGCAACAGCCTTTTGTGTGAGAGAACCAACCAGCTTCCAGCTGAAGAGGAAATTAGGAAAAGATGATGGAAATGGATAGGACATACATTGAGGAAATCATCAAACTGCATTACGAGACAAGCGCTAACTTGGAATCCTGAAGGGAAGCGGAAAAGAGGAAGGCCAAAGAACACATTACGTCGGGAAATAGAAGCAGATATGAAAAGGATGAATAACAAGTGGAAAGAGCTGGAAAGGATTGTCCAGGACAGGGTTGGATGGCGAGTGCTGATGAGCGGCCTATGCTACTTGACGAGGAGTAACAGGCGTAAATTCACATTTTTTGTATATGGGATTTCATCCTAATTAATAATCAAAATAGGTGTACAATCAATATATGCTGAACGCAATTTTGACTAGGGTCGTTGAGTTTTGTGATAAGTAAATCTTCATTCGTACCAGTCTTAGTGTTCTCACTTCACATCGTAGGAATTGCATTGGTCCCTCGTTTTACAATCATAAGTAATAAGCGATTCCAACATTGCAATTAGTGACAACCAGACATAAAATTAACATTTTTAGGTAATAAATCCTTCAACTGAACGCTGATATACCGATTTCGTAATCACTTCCTTGTCTTCAAAAGTGTTTCACACTTGAACCCCGAATAAGCAAACAAAAGACACGAATTATAGAAAAGGCTGTTTTGAAAAAGTTAGATTATAAACAAGCATGATCAGTTGTTTTCAAGATGTATCTTGCAAAATCCGAATAGTGCTATATAATCGAATTATTTTCAACATCACCCGGAATCCAACGATATTTCCGAGTGAATATCAAAGTCTCCTAACATCAACTTCAGCCAAACAAATCATTAATCAACTCGTAAATTTCTAATCCACATAACCTAATAGATAACTGTTAATTTTAATAATCTTGTGGCCACTTATATATATTGATATGTAGTGCACTAAACATTAATTGTTACCCTCTCATGGAATAACATTATTTAAGGTCCCATTGAAGTACAGATTAGAAATCCGCACAGATTGATTATTTCATAGTAACCAGTGTTATGTTTGGCTTCCTAATAAGGATGATAGAATTGTGTTGACCAAGCTAAAATATGCCCACTAGTTTAAGTCACAACTCAATCACACTTGATGTAGAACCTCTGGAAGAGGTGTAAACTTCCAACTACCTAAGCAGTATCATCGATTTATTTATTATTTATCTAAACAAAAACATTCGTACAAGGAGGTGCCAAATATATATGCGTCGAACTTCATTATACGATTTGTGTGAGGGTCGGAATACTACCTGGGCGCCCAAACCGAAGCATCACCGATAAATAAGGAGAACATGATGCAAACATTAAGGCAATGATTAGCAAAGTAAGAGCAATATTCCTACAGTTGAAGAACATATGGAACTCGAAACAACTGCCAGTCAATATCAAAGTCAGAATCTTCATTACGAACGTAGAGATAGTCCTACTGTACGGAGTTGAAACTTGGGGAACTACCACAGCCATTATCAAAAATTTATATGTATTTATAGATAATTGTCTACCCCATATGCTGAATGTCTGTTGGCCGGATACCATCTGCAACAACCTACTGTGTGAGAGAACAAACCAGCTACCGGCCGAACAGGAAATTAGGAAAAGATGTTGGATGTGGATATGACACACATTGTGGAAACCATCAGACTGCAGCACGAGGCAAGCGCAAATTTGGAATCCTGAAGGGAAACGAAAAACAGGAAGGCCAAAGAACACTGCTCCGAGAATTGGAAGCAAACATCAAAAGAATGAATAACAACTGAAAAGAACTGGAAATGATTGTCCAGGACAGAGTTGGATGGAGAATCGTGGTGAGTGGCCTATGCTCCTTCATGAGGGTTAACAGGTGTAAGTAAGTAAGTTTAAGTGAACCAAAACTTTGTGTTTAATATGTTGCAGTGTTTACTGATATTCTAAATACATCATGATGTCTTTGGAGGGTTAAGTAAAATGAAACTATTATATTTGAATTACATCAAGAACTGATAACATTGAACAGCATCAGTAGTATTTCCTCAAGTAGAAACAATTGATGTACCCTTACAGTCAACTCAATAATCAGAAACCAAATTTCTGTGGTAGATATTTCAGTCCATGTGAAAAAATTTTTAAAAGTCAACACTCAATTTATGACTAAAACTATATTTTATCATTTGTACAGATATTACTAACCTTGATAAACCAGTAATAGTAATATTTGATTGTGAATGATTTTTTGACAATAATTCATGAGGTTTAGCATTTATACAATGAAATTCGATATTTTCTGGTTTTTTAAATGTAGATGTGAATCGATTATTACTGGAAATATCATCATATTCATAATCAAATTGACAGTTATCTAGACTAGTTGACAGTTCGTTTTTCATTAAAACTGTATTATTAACTAATTGACTTGATTGAACAGGTACGGGAGTCATCGGATGATAGTAACAACCATCTCCTAATTCAACTATAGGAAATTGTTGACCACAACGTTTGCATAACTAAACATTTAAAATAAATACAAATGAAATAATTTATCAATAATAACATGATTCAAGGAAGCACGAATGTATACAAAAATTTTTAATAGGACAACATGAATTGGAAAAACTCATTTTCTTTTACCGAGAATGGACATATACGGAATAATGTGGATAATCACAATATACAGATATATCATTTTATTTCGGTAGAATTTACTAGAATATGTGAAGGTATTCAACTAAAGATAAATTAATATAAATAAACACAGAGAAGTAGATGTAAAGTATTATTCAATTATTTGAATTAAAGCAAAAGTTCAACTCTGTTTGTAGTTCTTCTAGGGCTACTGCCGGTCCCAAACTCGGGTAAAGGAGGAGAGTTGGAAGTGTGGTCGGCAACCCATCGCATAGAAAACAACCTTGCTAAAAACCACTAACCAGAACAAACAATTTTAACCATTTAGACTCTGCCCTCCGAGTTGAAAGATCTTCATTTGTAAGTTACTAGTATTTGACCACAGATGCCTTAGAAATATTGCGGGTATCTGCTGGGATCACCGGGTAAGTAATAGTGAGGTTAGACGCAGGGTATTAGGGAATGATGGTAAAGCAGTTGATGAGGTTGTCAATCTTCATCGACTGAGATGGTTGGGCCACGTGCTGCGTATGCCTGAACACCGATTACCACGACGTGCAATGCTAACCGGTGTTAGGGATGATTGGAAGAAAGTTAGGGGCGGCCAAACCAAAACGTGGCATCAGTGCTTGAAGTCACTAACTTCTGGTCTGAGCCATGTTGGTAGATTCAGACTACCTGGTTGGGGTCCATGTGACTATCGTAACCAATGTTTGGAGACTCTTGGTGACATGGCTCAGAATCGATCACAATGGCGTCGGTGTATACACTCTCTGTCTTCCTTTAAACTAAGAGAATAAAATCACTTCAAATCTTTCTTTCTAGGATCTAATTCTTTCTTCCTGTACTATCTCCTTATACACACTCTTTCTTCTATATATTACCACCACTGAATTAACTACTTCTATGAATCCGGTGTTCATCTTGTTGTGCTAATGCGGTGTGGCAACTTGGACCGATGCATATACGTGCCTGGTCCTACGTTTCAGCTGACTGACTGACTGACTGACTGACTGACTGACTGACTGACTGACTGACTGACTGACTGACTGACTGACTGACTGACTGACTGACTGACTGACTGACTGACTGACTGACTGACTGACTGACTGACTGTGGCTGCAGTCAATCATAGCCAAGTGCCCAAGAAAGAACTTGACTATCATGATGGGGGATCTAAACACCAAAGTCGGAATGAACAATACCGGATATTAGGATATCATGGGATGACATGGACTGGGAGAAACGAAAATGGGGGAGATTCGTAGGTCTATGCGCACTCAACAAATTGGTTATTGGCGCTACAATATTCTCACACAAACGCATACACAGAGCTACATGGATCTCATCGGACCACACCACAGATAACCAGATTGGTCATATTTGTATCATTAAAAAATTCAGAAGGACAATGGGAGATGTGAGAACCAGGAGAGGAGGTGACAGAGCTTCAGAACACCACTTGGTTGTGGTCGAGATGAAACTGAAGCTAAGGAAACACTGGACAGCTGGGGGAACAGTATTACAAAGGTTCAATACAGCCTTCATTCCAGATACTAACAAACTCAACGAACTCAAGATAACTTTCAACAACAGGTTCCAAACCTTACAAGGTCTACTCAAAGAAGAAGAATCCACTATGATGGGCAACTAGAAAGGGATCAAAGAAGCACTAACTTCAACATGTCAGCAGGTTCTGGACCGAAACAAGCGTCATCATAAGCAATGAGTCTCTATGGGAACCCTGGACCAGTAATCAAGAAAGAAAAAACAAAGAGACAACAATCAACAACAGTCGAAAAACAGCAAAGGAAGGCAAGGCGCAAGCCGAATACACAGAGGCAAACAAGCAAGTGAAGAAATACGTGGAAAACCTAGCAAAGACAGTGGAAAAGTCTGCAACAGAAGAAAATATCAAACGATTATATGACACAATAAAAAGACTGGTAAAGAAACATGGTAAACGAGAGAGACCGGTCAAGGAAAAAGAAGGCAGGCCAATTGCTGAGATTTAAGGACAGAGGAACAGAAGAGTGGAACACTTCGAGGAACTCTTGAATAAACCAACTTCATTGGAGCCGCCACACATAAAAAGCAACACACAGACATTTCTATAAATGTCACTCCATCAGCAAACGAAGAAACCAGCATGGTCACCAGACAAATCAAGAATGGGAAAGCAGCGAGACCTGACAATATTCCAGCCGAATCACTAACGTCAGACACAGAAGTAACTGCAATCATGTCCCACGTTCTATTCAGGAAGATTCTAGAGGAGAAACAAGTGGCGGTAGACTGGAAAGAAGGGTACCTCATCAAGACACCAAGAAAAGGAGATCCGAGCAAATGTGAGAACTACATAGGCATCACAGTACTATCACTACCAGGAAAGTTTTCCAACAGGGTGTTGTTGAACCGGATGGATGACTCAGTAGGCGCCAAACTTCGAGATCAACAGGCTGGATTCCATAAGGATCGGTCGTGCACATACCAAATCGCGATGCTACAGATCATCGTTGAACAACCAATTGAATGGGACTCGTCACCATACCTCAACAGGCGCAGGTCAAGACAAACAGTGTAGCAGTAGTAGGTCTCAACATACACGACGGGAAAAGCAACATCCTCAGATACAACACGTAGAATGCCAACCCAAGCACACTTGATGGAGAACCTCTGGAGTAGGTGGAAACTTTGACGAACCCATCGGTGAACAATGAGGATCCGATGCAAACATTAAGGCAATGATTAGCAAAGTAAGAGCAATATTCCTACAGTTGAAGAACATATGGAACTCGAAACAACTGCCAGTCAATATCAAAGTCAGAATCTTCATTACGAACGTAGAGATAGTCCTACTGTACGGAGTTGAAACTTGGGGAACTACCACAGCCATTATCAAAAATTTATATGTATTTATAGATAATTGTCTACCCCATATGCTGAATGTCTGTTGGCCGGATACCATCTGCAACAACCTACTGTGTGAGAGAACAAACCAGCTACCGGCCGAACAGGAAATTAGGAAAAGATGTTGGATGTGGATATGACACACATTGTGGAAACCATCAGACTGCAGCACGAGGCAAGCGCAGATTTGGAATCCTGAAGGGAAACGAAAAACAGGAAGGCCAAAGAACACTGCTCCGAGAATTGGAAGCAAACATCAAAAGAATGAATAACAACTGAAAAGAACTGGAAATGATTGTCCAGGACAGAGTTGGATGGAGAATCGTGGTGAGTGGCCTATGCTCCTTCATGAGGGTTAACAGGTGTAAGTAAGTAAGTTTAAGTGAAACAAAGCTCTGTACGATTAGATTACTCCAATCAACTTCGAAATTGAGGTCTTTGCTAAGTGTTATCTTAGCACTGAGATTATCGTTGTTCAGTGGGTACGCATTAATTGATGTTTATTAGTTTTTTCCTGTCAGGACTTTTAAAATCTACTGTACATGGTAACCCGCAACAGATTACACATATCCCAATTACCCTTATCCTCGATTCAGTTTTAAGTATTTACTGTTTAGTTGAGTGTTTTCAGATAATTCAGCTTTTAACTATTAAAATCCATCCCCAACCGAATGGTTGCAGCATGCGAACAATATTTCAAAGATCAGTGATATCAAATGCTGTTAGTCATGTTAAGTTTGTCAAAGTCTGCAGCTAATGGACTGGTTGAAAAATAATATTCATATATATAATGTACTTGTGATATCTGTGGATATGTCCTAAATTTGAGAACAGCTTTCGTCCGTACCTGAAGTCGGATGAAACTGTTGAATGTTGAACAACTGTTTTATTCTTGTTCTGAACTCCTAAATAGTTTGTAATTTTACCCCCATTTAGGATAGTATTCAGAAGCTCAGAGTTTCTTAACAAATGCATTAATCTATATAAGATTGACTTCAAATTCTATGATATAGTTCTTGCTCCAGTCATTTTAAGATACCCATAGATCATTACTCACAATCATTGATAATAACTGTTGTCTCACTACTGACAGTTAAACTAAATTAGTCACAACTCCACATTGGGGCAACGGGATCTCGCACGATCTAGTCACTTGTAAGCATACACTTCATTTTTGGTTGGAAATGAAAATAACTGGATTTTGATGAAATGGTTTACGTATCGTAATCCTGTAGAAACCTGGATCTCTTATGCGCGATATCAACTAAGATTATAGCTGCACACTGCATAAGAATCTTATATCAGATCGAAATGGACATCGGTAACGCCTTAACTCTCCAGGTGATGAAAAACCATAACAATACCATCTTTAAAGCATTTTACAATTTTAACTTTTAATCTACATTTTGTATAAAAAAATAGTCTGGAAATATCTTTCTTTTTAATCTATCAGCTATTTTAAATATGTTTACTAAAAACTAAACTGACCGGTAATATCTATTATATTTTCAAAACATAAAACCTAACTGTATAGAAGTAATTAACTTATTGGCTAACTTGAAGATTTATTGTAGCCCACAGTTTCCAAAATACATCGCGCCAGTTTCCTGATTCCATAAACCATTGAATTAAAAGTTCTGTACATGAAAAACGTGTTAGTTTTTGACTAACTGGCGTGGTTGTTTGTTCATTAATATTTGATATGACTACTGATCGACAATGTAAATTCGGGGATGTAGTTGATGATGTAGGTGTATGTGAATATTTCGAATAACCATTAGCCTCAATATATTGATGCGATGGTTCATCTGTTGAAATCAATTCGTTCCCACTTGGTTCCATAGGGTCATGAACAGGTATCATATCGCCACGTCGACTAATTATAAAGCGATTTGGAAGACAAGGTACAATAATTGAAATATTTCTCGTCAGTACTTTACCACATTTTTGACATCTTTAAATATATTTTGATTTGAATAAAATAAATTGATGCAAAATAAATTAGTAGAATTATTTATGTTAGTTAATCATAATAGATAAACATTTTACTTGTATACGAATTTTCAGTGTTAAGACTTTCATCTCTTGTGACCCATAAAACTTGTAGGTTCCTGGATACATATAAACGAAAGCAAGTTTTGTTAAAAATTACATCCAATGAGCATGTACGAATGTTGGAAAAAGATAATCAGATAAGGTAACTGCAAAAACACGCCAAAACAATACTAAATAGCCAATAATTTGGCCATAATCACACACTAGAACCTAAAACATAGATGGATCTTTATTAAGGTTTATCACTTACAATTAAAAAAACAATACATGAAATTTTCTAAAGGTATTAAGGTGACGATTCAGTTACGGCAAAAATGTTCTGGATGTTTTACCAATACATATTTTTACTTTTTAGATAAATCTGCACTTTGGCAAGAAGTAGAATTACCATATTAGTAGCAATTGAAGAACAGTATACCTTACTTTCTTCTAATGGGTAAACCACGAATGCAATTTTAGAAGTGACCACAGTGACATCGATATAATTTCTAAATATTTTTGACGTTTTATCTCAAAATCATGTTGTGTAAGTAAAATAATGGCGAGAAAAAGTGCCCTTACTTATCATCTCCTTACTACACAAATCTGGATATAGATAAATAAAACGCAAACAATGCACCTGACTTAAATATTAAAGCAAATAACTAAAAAGTATGGAGCAATAAAGTTTCCTAATTCTGAAAGACGATACATACTCATTGTGAGAAAAACTAATGAATGTTGATTTAACAGTTCTAAGGAAGTGTAGACCTATTTTAGGACCCTAATGAGGATGAAAATCAACTGCCTAAAATACTTTACATCTTGGAAGATCCAACAGAACTATTAACATTTATATTTACCCTGAAATTATACCACTTTTAGTTAATTTAGCTAAACCGCTTAATTATCACCACATAAATCAAGAAAAACAATACACATGAGCCAAAGTTAACTAACCGAAATAGATACGCTGCATTGTTAGGACAGTATGGAGAAGTATACTCAGGATCAAACAAATGTTCAATTTTCTTGAAAAAGATTTTGCTGGAATGAGATATTTTACCCCAAGTTGGGAATGGAACTACCTTTTTATTTTGTCTTTCTTATCCTTGATCTTATCCAGTTCCTCCAAGTTCAACCTGAGGGCGATGCTAGAATACATTTTAAATAATTACTATTCCTACTACCGTTCAACTAAGCTATCGCCCAAACAATCTAAAGAGAAAGGGCTTGCTATAATAGCTCCAGCATGTTTGCAGAAATACTCTAAACATTCAGAAGTCTTTCCATTATTTGTTCAAAACTTTCTGTTTAACCTACCAGATGTTCCATTTTAAGAAAGTTCGATGAAACTAATAATGCAAGGACATTCGAAGTTGACAAAATGCATTCTTTATACGCTTCAGGATCAATGTGCTTCCTAGCATAAACTAGTAGCCACTCGAATATTTTTAGGTCACAGTGAACAAGTATTTCAACTTCGCTGATAAACTGACCATCCTTAATCAAAAAGTCTTTGAAGTACGGCATCTCAATCATAAGGACGTCCAGCTCACATCTGAAATCCTGTTCAACTATAAAGTTTCATTTTAGGACAACGAAGTTCAGATCTCATACTGTAAAATGAAAGGTTACCTCCTTTAGCCTCATCACAAACTTTGACTGTCACTATTACTGGCTCATTGATGATGCCATTAACCGGGCACATCTGTATTTAATTGATGGAACTAAATGTTTGAAGTGCTTGTCTGTTGTGGCAGTTTGCGTCTATTCAGGAGGTAATTTGTTTTTTAAGTGGAGCATGCAGATTAGCGTGATGGGTGGGCTAGAACAGAGAAGAACGAAGGAAAAATTAAAACTCGACAACCCAGCAACCGCACACAATGCGCGTACAATTAATAATGAATGAAATTGAAAACACTCAGAAATAACACAAGCCTCAGATTGAGACAATCTTTGAGTAGAAAATAGAGGCAAATAGTTTAACTTACAGTATTTGTTAGGGCATAAATATATCGCGGGATTGTTTAGGGGATCTCCAATAACAACGAGAGGCTGGTAGTCAATATTCAATTTAACATATAGCTTTCAGACTACAAAGGACAGGAGGTTTGTTGGTCTGTGTTAGTTCTGGCACTGATGTTCTATCAAATGATCTAACTTTTTTTGAGATAATAAATTTCACTCGTTTATGGTTCGATGGTACAGTCGATAGTCAGCTGACAGGTAATTTTTTCTGGGATTGTGAACCATTTTGGAGTGTCCCTGTTGACTCTCTGTTTCGAATGACAAAAGTGAGTGCATATCGGGTGTAAATTTGTCACTAAGTAATTTGAAATGCGTTGTTAGGTCACCTTTACTTCTTCGATAAGACTATGAGAATAGGTTCAGTTTGACCAGTCGAGCATCATAAGGGAGCTTCGCTATTCCGGATATCAGCTCAATTTCTGTTTTCTAAACCCACTTCAAAAGCTTGCTGTCTTTTTTGTGCAGGGGCTAACCGCTTGTATGGAGTACTCAAGTTTAGGACACACGAATACTGTAAATAAAGTCAAATACGTTTTAGCGTGGGTATGAGTAAAAGCCCTGGGTATCGACCACAGGGTTCTAAAATCTTTGGCGGCTACTGCATTGCATTGTCAAGTAGTTTTTTAGTCGTGTATAGCGATGGATCCTTAGTCGTTATGTGTTGGGACAACAGACAGCTCAATGTTATTTATCATGTATGTATCCGTACCACTAGGAAATGCGTTAACTGGAAGATTCCTTTACTGGATTCTTAGTCCTACTGCACAGTTCGATGTCTTTGCCAGATTCCAACCATAACATGTCACTCACTCGACTGTATTGATCCTAATAATAACCTAAGGGCTTGTAATTCTTGATTTCAAATAAACGCAATCATCATAGGTCAGAATGATTGCTAAACCAAACAGCTATCACGTTACGAGGCAAGTGAGCAGTCTATTGAAATTGGGTAACGGTACAACGAGAACCTAGAGGAGAAACGAGAAGACTAAAGTCTAGAGAAGTTAATAAATAATAATAAATAGACCGATCTCCTGGTTATCTGTAGAGTTTTACATTATAAGGCTGTCGACGTGCTACTCAACCTACAGTTACAGTAAAAAATTTTGGAAATGTTCTGTCGAAACATCTTTCCGTAGCTGAAATTCATCTTTATGATACATGCCGTATAATCATTTACATAGGTCTTTATAATCGAGCTGAGTCAGAACAGACTGAAAATAAAAAGCGAACTCAATCAAAAACACTTGAATGTTAATATTTATTGTGTAAGTTAAACAGGAACAACCGATGAGTATGTGGTCGACGTTAAAAGAGATGGTTCTGTCACTAACAAAAGTGACGTTGCCACAAATTTCAACGGGTGGCCGTAAAAATATACGTGAAATAAATAGCTCTATAAGTCTTCGACATTGATTCTTACCTTATTAGTTTTACTGAACATGTAACAGCTTAAGTTAGTTGGTTAATAGTTGACCTCAAATAACTAAGTATATGCTGAAACAATAAAGTTAAAGCACTCATTCAACTTTTTATTCTGTGTGGGCATTATATTTCCTATTATCTTATATTGAATGTTGAGAAGCTTTGTTTGTCTGAACAGGTAATCCTGTAGTGGCATTGCGCCCTAATCACAATCCTTAAATCTGAATGGGAGACACTTGAGAGAATAGATGTTAAACATTTAACGCGGAGAAAAACTGAAGGATGTGAAAGACGGGAACAATGGATGGAATGAGTCCGAATCGGTCGGATGGCATGGCGTGGTCCCTACTGAGTGTTACCTTGTATCTTTTATTCATATTAAATATATTGTTCTATCTCTATCCTGGGCTTTTTCTCCATCATCTTGGTAAATGTTACGATGCGATGAGTTGGTGTAGACGATGATGTGGCTTCCACGTAAGATCTTATAGATTAGGCAGTTATATCATAACGAATCTACAATTTTAGGATTAGGTCTATTATTGGAGCAGTACTAATATCATCTAGACCTATAATTCCACAATCCCACCCTCTTCTATGACTGCGCGAAGATCTAAACAAAGACCTATTCACTACTAGTCTGGTTTCTTCTATCAATAGCACGAGGGTTACCTACAGACGCGATGTCGGTGAGTCCTAAGAAACACAAATTTGATTTCATTTTTTATTGCAAAAGAAGACATTCTGATTGTCCGTAACTTAAGTATTCGTGTTGTAGTAACCATTTTTCGTACTGGTTTTATTACTATATTGGTCATATACATCATGTCAAACTCAATGCAAACCCAAACACTGGAGGATTTGTCGCCAGTGGAGATAGACACTGTTATGACCACGAAATCTCGACTTACAGAATTTAATCGTAGTGACCCTGAGTTTGCTCAACTAGAGCAAATCTAAAGGAATTCACTATAGAGACTTCTGTTCTATCCTTCCTCCTTCAGTCGCCAAGGCAGTCCGTGACTTGATTTTAAGCCCACCAACACCACAACTATACAATATCTTAAGACGAGAGATAGTGTACCGTTTGTCATTATCAGGCAGTTAAAGAATCCAAAGGATTTTCCAAGGAGAAACATAAGGTGATAGGTAGCCGTCACAGTTTTTACGTCACCTTTAAGTCCTAATGGATAATAACACATAGGGTGAAGCAGTCCTAAAACGAGGATGGATACAAGCTCTCTCATGCTACGTCCAACACTTTGAATGCACAATATCCTGGAACCAGTCTGGGTAGTTTTGTTGGTATCACTGGAAGTTTGGTTTTAACTCAACGAAGTGCACGCAACCATGCGTCTGGCCTAAACAAAATCTCAGGAGTACGGAAAACGAGTAACCCCTGTCCGGGTCGCGACGACTGAGTAGGGACGCCTAAACAGTCGCTTGTTTTATGTTAGAGACAGAAACTCTACCTTGAACTTCTTGGTAGATACTTGCACTGCTCTTAGCATCATTCCTCAAAATTAAACTGAGCTAGGTTGAGAAAAATCCACAGTTACACTTCAGGCTTCTAATAAGACTAAAATCGCGACATTTGGACAGGAGACTTTAACACTAGATTTGGTGTTCAGGAGGCAATTTCCCTAGGTTTTCACTGTAGCGGATTTAGATCTGGCAATACTGGGGATGATCTTTCTAGAGAGATGTAATCGCGGAATTTAAAAACTTAACTAAACCAAACCCACAGCCTTCCAAATACAAGCTAAAAGCAAGCCATACTATCAAAACCGAAGGTGCGCCTCTGTTTGCAAGACCCATGAGACTAGTACAAGATAAGTGTTTTTCACGTGGTCTTGAAATTCTTCGACTTGTTCATTTGTAGGGTGTATTATACAGTAACTATCATCCTATCTTGTATATCGGATACATTTTACCTAAAAAATAAAAAAACGTTTTACGGATACTTACCAGCTCATATTATTCCTATTTCGAACTTAAGTCTAAAATAGATCCAAAATTTATTATATACTCAGTCTCTGATTCTCGCACTAACCAGGTTAATACGTAGAAACCACTAATACTCTGATATTAAATTTGATTTAACAAGCTCTGTATCCAGTTTCAAATCATTGTCAATAACTTCAGTAAAAGAGAAATTTCACCAACTTCTAAGCCAAATTAAAGGTCCAAATCTGTAACCCCTATGACTGACGACTCAGTGCCTGACAATGTCGAACCTTTAACAAATGGACAATATGAGTATTGTGCACAAATGTCACTATCATCACCTGATTCTCCATGTTACCGCCTTTCCATCACTGCGTGCAGTATGCCAGCGTAAGACTGGTTGACAAACAAGACACTATACCCTCGTGTGTCGAAACGCCAACACAGTCTACCAGACAGTATGTTCTTCCAAGGCCTAAATCTAAAATTTCCAAATTAAAGAGCCCAATAGTTCGTCTCATACACACGAAAATACTGATAGATATAGTACTGACATCCGTCAACTACGAAACTCTCTAGCCGAAATAAACGGCGGACTTGAGCAACTAGCACCCCTCACACATATATGGGGCCTTGACACTGATAGGAATCTTGAGAAACTCACTAAAGCTGAGTGCATTTTGGAGTCTGTGGCTGAAGAAGTGACGAAAAGAGTGATGTCCTCCTTCAATGCAGTTGCTTATAACATCCCCGACCGTTCACATCTATCTAAGTTGAGGGATATTTGCCTTAGAGCATGCGGTATGCTGAACGTTAACTGCAAAGTCATCCGCCTTCGAAAAAAGTCAGACAGATCAACTTGCACCCTCCTGTTTATGTTTGGCTGTTGTAACGATGCTAAACAGTTTATTGATTCGAGCGAAAATATTGGCTCACCAATTCCATACGAAAATATAAAAGTCACTCCAGATCTTACGCCCTGTCAACGTCGTGTAAGAAGACATGAAGCGATAGAATTGCATGGCAGTATTACAGTACATAACCTGTCAGAGACAGTTTGCAACAATAAACATGACATCATTCCACAAACGGCTGACCACTCTGTTGATCTAGATGAGTCTGATGATCAGAAACCTTTCGATAAGATTCGGACCCCAGCTGTCACCGAAAACCATAACGACATGTCTAATCCCAGCTGTTTGCTCAGTAATGTACTAAGATGTGAGTCGTCCGTAAACACGCATCCAACTAAACCTATACACTTAAAAGTTAGTCCTCCTAAAGATACTCCACATGTTGACTCGAATGGAACTATATTCATCTCACAGAGACAACGAAAGACTCCAGCTTTGACAAAAAGGTGTGTGAAGACGAGACTCACGATACCGAATAGGGGAACACATAAGGTTGAACCCAACTGCTCTATAGGTATCTCAATAACAGTGAACAGGTTCTACCCCCCGATATCATATAACTTGCCTTCAACACCTCTAAGTTGCAAAATGGGTAGTGGGCTACAGCGTAACAAGCCTTTTCACACGCAGACTAACAAGAACTATCAGAGTCCTGACCACTCCCAGCACTCCCTAAAGCCTAAAACCATCAATAAAAATGGTATTAATAGGTTTCTCACTCCACATCCTATCTACATTCCCCAGGATAATAATTGGAATTACTCTCAGAAACAGAACTTTTCACACC